ACTCCCCACACACACACACACACACACACACACACACACACACACACACACACACACACACACACACACACACACACACAGAAAGAGAGAGAGAGAAAGAGACTCCCTACTAAGTCCATTTAGTATTGCTCATATGTACATGTGTTCAGGGCTGACCACCTGGGATTAGATAATCTATCAGAGGGACCTAACAAATTTTTATATAACACTCCACTCAGTGACAGTAGCCTACACATTTTCCTCAGTTGTGTACAACTTTTGTCTGAATAGACTATGTTAGGCCATAAAGCAAGTTACAATAAAATTTAAAAGACTAAAGACATTGAGAGACTAAAGACATTTGGCCACAATGGAATGAAACAAACAAAGGAAAAAAATCAATAATAGATGGAAAACTAGAAAATTCACAAGCACAAGGAAATGAAACATTATGCTTGTGAAATTAGAAAATACTTAGAGATCACTGGAAATGAAAGCATAACTATCTTAGTTTGCTTTCCTGTTGCTCTGAATAAATACAGTGACCAAAAACACCTTGGAGAGGAAGGGTTTGGTTGTTTTATACATTCCTGATCACAGTCTATAATTGAGGAAAGGCAAAGCAGGAACTCAAGCAGGGCAGGAACCTAGAAGCAGGAACTGAAGCAGAGACCAGAGGAACACTGCTTACTGGTTTGCTCATACCTTTTTTATACAGCCCAGGCCCACCAGCCCAGGGATGGCATGGCCCATAGTTGTCTTGGCTCTCCTACATAAATTAGCAATCATGAGAATGCCCCACAGGTATGCCCACAGGTCAGTTGAGGTTTCCTTTTCCCAGGGACCTCTACTGTGTCAAGTTGACAAAAACTAACCAATACAACAACATAGGAAAACAAATCCAGGGAAATTAATGGCTATAAAAGAAGAAAATCTCAAATCAGTAACCTAACTTACTGTTAAATAACCAGAAAAAGGAGCCTAAAGTTCAAAGAGGGAGAGAAGTAAGAAAGAGGGACTAGATAGATGGCTTAGCAGTTAAGAGCACTGGCTGCTCTCACAGAAGACTCAGGTTTGGTTCCCAACACCAACATGGTGGCTAACAACTGACAATAACTCCACTTCCAGGGGATCTGACACCCTCTTCTAGCCTCCTTAGGTATTGCATGCACAGGTACACTAACATACATGCAGGAAAAAATTCATACACATAAAAAATTAAATTACATTTAAAAAGAACTAAGAAGTATTAAAGCAAAGATAAAATAGAATCAGCAGAAACAAAAGTAGGTTCTTTGAAAAAAAGATTTTTTTTGTTTTTGTTTTTTTTTAAAAGAAACAAACCTTTAACTAGAATGCCCAAGAGAAAGAGGTGAGTGGCAGCTTACTATAGACTTTGCAAAATAAAAAGGTTTGTAAAAGAATACTGTGAATAATCTATCCTAAAATAGTTGGATAATCTAGATGAAACAAATAATTTCAAAGAAATACACCAACTATCAAAAGTGACTCAAGAAATAGAAAATATGGACATACCTATATAATAGATAAAGAGATGGAATTAGTAAGAAACAACAAAAAAACCCTCTTAACAAATAAAGTGCAAGATGACATGACCTCAATGGTGAATTCTATTAAAAGAATAGCAAGTCTCCTGATACTTGTCCAAAAAATAAATAGGAAGGAACATTTTCTAAAACATTATGTGAGATTAGTATTACTTTGATACCAAGGCCAAAGAAAGATATCACAAGAACCAGTTGACCTTATGAGTATAGATGTAAAGATCTTCAACAAAATCCTAGTAAAGTGAATTCAGAAGTATATTAAGAGCTTTATCCATCATATTAATTATGTTTTAGCTGTTAGCATCTACCTGCTACCCTGTTTTGTTACTACTGTGACTACTACGCATCTCTTCAAAAGTCAGGCCTACCATGCTATCCCTTACATTCCCTTCCTTATGAGTAACTCTTCCCTTGCCTGTTGAGATTTTAAATGTCATTTTATTTAAATTAAAATTTAGAAGAATTTTTATTTTGTGTATGATTGTTTTGCCTTGCATGTATAAAGTGCATTCATGAGTGCAGTGTCTGGGTATGCCAGAAGAGGGCGTTGGATCCTCTGTTGGATTTTCAGTTGTTGGCTGTCATGTGGGTGCTGGGAACCAACCCTGGGCCTCTATAAGAGCAGCTGGTACTCTTAACTGCTGAGCTATTTCTCCAGCCCCTTAAATTATAATTTCAACGATACATTAAACACAAATATACAGAAACTAGGGTATCATGTCATGTTTTGAAGCATGTATACATTGTGCGATGTCTGCACCTGTGCATTTGTGGTGTATTTATACCTGTCTTCCCAGGTTTTCACTTGGAAAAGTTTTACGTCTACAGAAAATCGAATGCTGGTTACCTCTGCCAGTTGTTCCTGTAGTGCCACATTTGCTTTTTTGTGCTCTCAGCAACATCCATGTATGTGCATGTATATGTGAGTGTAAATACATACTTTTTACAGGAGAACAGTGTCATTATGACATATTATTCCTAAATATTTTAGAATGTATCTCCTAAAAATAGGGAAATTCTCATACATAATTATAGCCTCTTGTCATACCCAGTAAATTCATGGTATCTTGTATTTGGACTATATTCAAATTCCCCTAATTATTTATCTGAACTTTTTTGTGTTTCTTGTTTATCTGATTAGTAATTGTGATATCTTGATATATGTGCATATTGCAAAATGAGTGTGTGCAGCTAGCTAATTGGCATGCCTTTTACCTCACCTGTCATTTCTTTGTGATATGAACCAGTAGTATTTCTTATAGCAGATATTTCTTCTCTTGACCTATGATCTAATAAAAAAAAATCATGTATTACTTTGCCATTTTTTTGTTACTCTCCTTTAATATTTAGAACAACCTCTCAAGTCCCTTGTCTAGATTGGTTGGTCCATGGAATGTCTGAGCATATGGATTTGCATGGCTTCTTTCTTATTGTTAGGTTCAGGTTAAAGATTTTGGAGAAGGGCATTACATAGTGATGTTACTTACAGTGACATTACTTTAGAAGGCACATAACATGACAGTTTGTTCCATTCTAAGTGGCGCTAGGTGATCTATAAAATGATACCTTGAGGCTTTACCATTTGACATTTTATCTTTTACTTGATATTTCTTGCCTGAATCAATAATATGGTGTTGCGGGTTCTCCTCAGGCCAGCTGTGAAGACCCTGACCTGGATCGGGTCCCCTGCTGATTAGTGGGGGCAAGAGGCGTGGAGTCAACACACAGACCCTGGGAGTTAGGTAGAAGCAAGCTCTAGGTGAAGTGCTGCAGGCTTGTTTAATGCAGGAGGGAGCAGGCCTTATATTTCCCTTTTCTCCGCCCCCAAGTCCCTTTAGTCAGCGTATCGTTTTCTGATTGGTCCACGCCACGCAGTCTGTCAGCAGTCACTGGGCTCGCGAGCAGGGTACGGAGGCATGGGCTCCTTTTGGTGGGCTATTTGCGGACCAAGAAGTGAAGTGAATTATCACTGAATCCCAGGGCTCTGGGTCCGTGTCATCTTTGGAGGCCTCCTGCTACATTTCCACCCTTTTTTTAAAAAATGACTGTCCAGTGAGAGCCTGTAGGCAGCTCTGCCTCAGGATGACCCCAGGATTATGGACTGTGCCTGTCTTAGGTTGTCCTGTTCGGGCATGAACCTTACCCATCAATGGAGCATGGGCATACACATCCATGTCCTGGCTTAGGTTGATTCAGCCCAACAGGAGCTTACCCGTCATTGGGTACCAGCCCTCCAAGGGGTATCATCCTGGGGGATCCGTCGAGGTGGGGAATTATCTGTAGGAGGCCTCGTACATTTGTGCAAGCCAAGTATGTCAGGCTGCATAGGGCAGATTGAAATCATCTTTGTGTATTGCTCTGAGGGCCTGATACACTGAGTGATTGAATTTTTTCTGACTACGGGAACGAAGAACAAGGCATTTAAGAAGTAGAAAGAGAAGAATAATTATGCCTGTCAGGAGTCGGGAAGTGACGATCCAAGATGGGTCAAACAGTGCTTTTAGATTAGACCAGATTTTCTCTAAGAACCCTGAATTGATGTCCAGCGTGGGGGTCTGGGTATAATTTAGAGCAATAATTTGATTAGTTAGTAATATAGAGTAGTAACTAAGAAACTTTTGATTCCAGTGGCCATGAATATAGTGCGCGAGTTGTAGGCGTGCTTCAGTAATATTTTGTATTTTATAGGGGGTGAGACAAAGTGACCTAAAGCGAGGGTCACAAGCTAGCAGAGCCATGTCTTTGGTAATTGCCAGCTCTTCACTTAAGAGATCAATTTGTTGTTGTAACACATTAATTGTCTGGTTTTCAGCCTGATCGTTATAGGCTGCGTGCCAGTTTAGAAAGACTTAGGGTTCTAAGACTGCCTTTAGTAAGCTATACCAATCATAGTGGGTTTGTAACTGTAAGGACCACTGGCGAAGAACCTGTTCGAAATATGGGGAGTCAGGACCCGATTGCTCAGCTGCCTTGTGGATAAGAACGAAGTCAGCAAGTGGGGTGGGCAGCCATGGATGCTGCACCACATCGGAGCCGACGTTAACTGGAAATGTGGACAAAGGCAGGCGAGGGTTTAAGGAGGACAGCCTAGGAGGGAGGGACATGGTAGCAGGGGAAGGGGTGGGATGGTTACTGGGGGGGGTACCTCCTTCCACGGGTATGGGGCGGGGGAATTTCTGGGCATGGTAGCTCTAGGAGTGTATCCTGAGATATAGGCAAAGGAGCACCTTCCTTATTGGAAGTGGGCACAGAGGCTGCGTTCACCTCTGGGTCTGGGAGGTCCGGGTCGAGGTAATAGCCAGATCTACACTAGATTGCTCCTGGCAGTGTTTGTTGTGGGCAGAGATGACTTCCTCAGGAGAGGAGGATTTAAGGCTAGCAATGATGGCTAGGAGGATATGTACGAATGATGTGTGGCGGGGAGTGATCCCTGACCCGACCTCCCTTTTTCGGGCCAGGAAGAGGACCTCCATCCACACGTCAGGGTCCCACATGTTTTCAGGGGAGACCCATGGAGCCAAATTAGTGGCTGCATCCCAAAAGTGTTCGGTATCTTTTGGTTTTGTTTTCAACCCTCTGGTTTTAAGGAGCACCTTGGGTGCTGCCGTTTGTGGTTCCCTGCATTGTGGTGGTAAATTGTCCATTGTGGGAGTGTCTCACAAAGGGGAATTTGCCACAGAAGTAGAAGATGAGGGTGACTACCAAGAGGGCAAAAAGGAAGAAAGGAGCACTGTGAGCCACCCGATGTAAACCGCCCCGACATGTAAAGGTGTATCGGATCCAAATGTCTTATGCTCAGTGAGGGACTTCTGGAGGCTGTGACACGTCCAGCCGTATGCTCACACGGTGTCTCTGGGACAGGCAACAGGGTGACCCAAAGCCTGGGCTCTGAGTTCAGGGTGGATCAGCCCTTATGTGAACTCACCAGGACGAGCCAAGCGGGGGAGGTGCCGACGTGATCTTTGGGACCACATGGCGGAGTGTGCCTCCCTGATCTAACTAGTCCAGCAATAAAGATGACAGACAGGGTGGAGGAGACAGAGGAGGGGGCTACTTGCTTACCCTTGAGCAGCTGAAGAAACAGACAAATCCAGGGGCCTACTTACCCAATGAACTGAGGTTCTGGGTGTTGCCAACACCTTGGGCAGGAGTCCCTGTTGGTCGCCAGGTGTTGCGGGTTCTCCTCAGGCCAGCTGTGAAGACCCTAACCTGGATCAGCCTGCCGATTGGGGGGGCAAGAGGCGTGGAGTCAACACACAGACCCCGGGAGTCAGGTAGAAGCAAGCACTAGGCGAGGTGCTGCAGGCTTGTTTAATGCAGGAGGGGGCAGGCCTTATATTCCCTTTTCTCCGTCCCCAAGTCCCTTTAGTCAGTGTATCATTTTCTGATTGGTCCACGCCACACAGTCTGTCAGCAGTCACTGGGCTCGCGAGCAGGGTACGGAGGTGGAGGCATGGGCTCCTTTTGGCGGGCTGTTTGCGGACCAAGAAGTGAAGTGAATTCTTGCTGAATCCCAGGGCTCTGGGTCTGTGCCATCTTTGGAGTCCTCCTGCTACAATGTAACATCAGACACTACCATCATTCTGATACTTAATTTTCTCAAATCTGGCTGTCCAAACTCCTTATGAAATTATCCCCTCAGCGTTTGAACACTTTTTTTCTTTTTGTCACATGTAATTACAGGCTCACCTTGTACTTTTCTCCAACCCCAGACTTATCTCTTTTTCAAAGCTACTTTGTTTCCTTTTTGTAAGAAGTAGCATATTTAGAAATGAAGTATGTTGATATGGGAGAGTCACAGTTTTTAGTGGACAGATTTAGGAAATCATCTATTTGTTATACTCATATTCATACTCATATTCATCATTTTTACTATTACTGTAATTATTGTGGTCTTACTATGTAGCCACAGCTGGCCTGGAACTCTGTATAGACTGGGCTGGCCTTGGCCTCACAGAGATCCACCTACCTCTACCTTATAAGTGCTGGGATCAAAGGCATGTGCCACCACACCTTGTTTCAGTATTATTTTTAAGAGTAAATACTGTCATTTTTGGGGGCTTTATTTACTTGAAAATTAAAATGGCTTTTTTTCATGATTTTCAAAAATATTGTAATACTGGGAAATTTAATGTTAGTTATGGTAAATAACTCGTTTATTATGATAAGTTAGGTATTTGTGTTAGTTATTCAACAAACTTTTGTCTTTGTTGTTAATGTAGTTTTAGGACAGTGCCGTGACAATGCTGAGCCAAAAAAGTTGCCAATCACTGAAGAGGAGCAGATTTACCCTTGGGACACATGTGCAGCAGTTCACGATGTGAGGCTTTCATTATTACAACGTTATTTTAAGGATGTAAGTACTTTTTATTATCAAAGAGTAGAAAAGATTTTTTTTAATGATGCTTATCATTGAACCTAGGGCTGTACACATGCTAGGTGAGTGCTCTATCACTGAGCTGTATCTCCATCCCTTGAATAGTATGGATGGTGATTTGCCTCTAGAATTTCTTTTTATATAATTTTTTTCTATTGAAATGGCATTCTGATTTCAAACTTCAAAGTTTATTAGAAAAATAATGTGTGGATAGCAATGGAATGGAAATCTGTTAATAAAAATTTCAAGCAACAAATGTGATAAGTGCTTTAAATATTTATTATAAAGTCTGCACAATTTGGTTCAATGGAATAATAAGTATTAACTATAAAATATTTTAGGTAGGGTTTGAATATGCAGATTTTACAACTCTTTTTACTTTTGTGTAAAGATACATAATAGAAGCTCCATATGGTACTTTGAAAATGTAAAGAAGAGATAGAAGTGATTCCTGCCTCTTCTCACATCTCCTTGCAAAGTTGGTAGAGTTTTTCTAGTTCTTTGCCTCTGTAAGGCCCAGTGTTCAGAATTCTGTGTCCCAAGGCTTTGAAGATAAACTTTATTTGACAGTAGCAGCATTGTTAACTTCCTTTAAAAATTACATTGGCCTGGGGATGTAGCTCAGAGGCAAAGCACTTCCCAACCATGTGTGAGGCCATGGGTTCCATCTCCAGCACTGGAAAAGAAAAGAGTATACAATTGGTATATCAATTTTAATATTTCTTAATTGGATTATCAAACAGGGGTCCTCCTTCCTGTTGTAGTTGTTTGAATCTAATGAATCCTGAGTTAAGTAAAATAAAGCATTATTTGTAGCTAACTATAGGAGATTATTGTCTTGATTGATTTCCAAATAGATGTTCTTTCTTGCCTGTACGTCTGCTGGTTAAAATGGAATATGTTAGTAGGATAGGGACAACACACTACTTCTTTAGAATCACCAGTATCTGACTCAGTGATGATAGGAACCAGAGCAGAGTATGATTCCATCACACACCAAGCTCAGAAGGTTTCTGATGGCTTCAGGAACAGCATGCGGTTCTAGCTAGGGCAGCTTTGTTTAGAGTAGAAAGAGTCCTAGATGAGAAAAAAAAAAAAAGGGGTTTGATGCTGATCTTGACATTTCTGAGGTATGTGAGCTTGACCAAACATACCCAAGACTGGGTTTCCTTGTCTCCAAAGCATTTTGAACTGTCTTTCCTGCAAGAACCTACCAGGTTGGAAGTTCCTTAGATTACTTTGCTTATAGTATAGGGCAACTAAATGTAAAGTGATATTTTTAATATTCAAGGTGGCCTGATTACAACATCTTCGGTTAGGCCTTACAATGCAGTTTGGATAAGATAATGGAGATCTTGGTTCTGTATATTTTCAGAGTTTACAAAGTGAAGTTATGGTTATTTAGAAAATAGTGTCATCACTATGATTATTATTATGTGTGCAAGATGTATGTGTGTGTGTGTGTGTGTGTGTGTGTGTGTGTGTGTGTGTGTGTGTCTGTGTGTGTGTAGGCACAAAAGCCACAGTGCATGTGTGGAGGTCCGAGGACAACTTTGTGGGTTCCTCAAGTGCCTTTATCTACTGAGCCATCTTGCTGTTCCAGTTATGCTTATTTAGTAAGAGCAGACTCTGTGCATATTATGAGCACATGTACATGCACAAAAGCACATTCTTTCACCTTTTGAAAATTCCTTTTTCTGCTTTGAATTTTTATGGGGTTCATGTATTTATTAATCAGCATTCGAGTAAGTATTTTCAAAGAAAATTCTATTAATTATGCTAAGTACCTTTTGTACAGTTTTATTTTTTTTAAGATTAAATTAAAAAAAATTATGTGTGTGTGTATTTGTATGCTACATGTGTGCAGGTGTACCCATGGAGGCCAGAAGAGGGTGTTGAATCCCCTGGAGCTGGAGTTAAAGGCAGTTGTCAGCCACCTGTCATGGCTATGGGGAACTGAACTCATTTCCTCTGGAAGAGCAGCAAGCTCTCCTAACTGCTGAGCTGTCTCTCTAGCCCCCTTTTTTGATACAATTTTGGTGCCACCTTCTTGGATTCATTTTTGTCATAATTCTTTTAAAAATATTATAATTAATAATGTTAATTATCATTATTATTGGCCTTTTTGAGACAGGGTCTCACCGTAGCCCCAGCTGGCCTGGAACTCACTATGTTGACCAGGCTGGCCTCGAACTTGCAGAGATCCGCCTGCCTCTGCCTCCTGAGTGCTGGGATTAAAGGCGTGCAGTACCATGCCCAGCTTAGTTTATTATTTTTGTCTGTATGAGTGTATTGCCTGCATGTATGTAAGTGTACCCATGTTATGCAGTGCCCATGGAGGTCAGAAGAGGGCGTCTTATCCCCTGGAATTGGAGTTGTGGACTGTTAGCCACTATGTGGGTGCTGGGAACTGAATCCGGGTTCTCTGCAAGAGCAGCCTGTGCTCTTAACCACTGAGTCATCACTCCAGCCCCCTGTCATAATTCTTTTAACTTCTTTTGAACCACTTTAAATTAAATGCAGAAAAGTCAATACCAAAGCCAAATAGAACATTTTGTGTGTATATATGGTGTGTGTGGGTGTGAGTATTCGCATGTGTGTGGGTGTGCAAGCATGTACGTGCATGTTCAAGTGGAGGCCTGAAGTTGAAGTTGGGAGTCTTCCGCAATCAGTGTCCACTTTTATTTATTAAGACAGGGTCTCTCAATGAACCCAGCACTCAGGATTCTGCATAGTCTAGCCAGCTTGCCTTGGGATTTCGTGTCTTTGCCTCCCCAGTGCTAGGATTACAGGTGGCTGCCATGCTACCCTGGTTTTTATGTGGGTTTTAGGGATTTGATTTCTGGATCTCGTGTTTGGGCTACAAGTGATTTACCCACTCAACCACCCTGCCCCTGAAAACTATATTTGGATTCAATCAGATGGAAGAGTATAATAACTGTGAGGGAAAAAAATGTCTAATAAAAGAGAGGAGGAATGGTTGTTTATTTTTTCTTTTTTTCTTTTCTTTCTTTTGTTTTTGGAAACAGGGTTTCCCTGTAGCCCCAGCTGGCCTGGAACTCCTCGCAGTGTAGACCAGGCTGGCCCTGAACTCACAGAGTTCTGCCTGTCTGTGCCTCCCAAGTGCTGGTGCCCAGCGATATGTCTTTCTCTTATAAGCCAGGATTATTGTTCATTTCAAGATTTTTTTTTTTCAAATAAAAGGCTCTGAACTGAAATCAGAACTGACCTAGACTGTATGGTGTTCCTCTATTGATGATTATGAAATTTTTCTTTGTATAGGATGACTTCTGTGTACTATCATAGTAGACATTTTAAGTATATATGGAATGTTCCCTGAACTGCCTTTGAAGATGAGGGTCTTTTTTAATGTTGGTTTTATATTCTCTACCAGGGTAGGTAGTACATGATCTCTGGATTATAGATGCTTCTTTGACTTCTTACTTAATTAATATAGAGGACAGGAATTTTGGCTGGAATAGACTGATTGACACTGATACTGATTATAGAATTAAGTAGTACATTTTATTGAGTTGACATACAGAATCTAGTTATATTAACATAGTGCATATATTCACTTAGAAACAGAAAGTGTTGCCCATGGAGTGTGACACAGTGGAGGAAAGGAACCTGAGTCTTGGAGTTAAGTGGACTTGGGTTCTATTACTTATAATTTAATGATCTTAGTAGTGTTTCCTTTACTGTCTTACCCACCATCTACTGCATGAGGTTTTATTTAGTAAGTCTGACTTTGTGAAGATTCAGTGTTAAGCACTTAGCACAGCAATGAATAATGGCTGCATAGTTGAAATTTCTCTAAAATATTTATCTTATATTTATAAGGGTTTTCCTGTATTTCTGACTCTAGTATAAAATCAGATAAAGTATCTAACATTTACATATGCAAGTGTCTATTTTTAGTTTAAATTTCTTTTCATTTATTTCACTTACATTTTATTTTATATATATTCATAAAATATGATAAATATGTATACAGTTATCAGAAGATAGTTTTCTTAAAAATCACATTAAGTAATTTATAAATATAGTTAATAATTTATGGTGTCATATTTTAAACAAAATATAATACTCATATGGCATTTTAATCTCTGTAGCTCAAGTGGTTGTGGCTACTAATGATGGAAAATTAGCCCCATAACTTCAAAGTGGCAACAATATTTAAGACAAAATCAGGAACCCCTGTGATATAGTTTCAGAAAGCCTGGTACTCTTTTGAAAGTTTCCTCTGTTTCAGGAGCTGCCACTTAGATTATGATTTATTTATTTTTATGTGCACTGCATGTATGTAAGTGCACCATGTGTATGCAATACTTGTAGAGGCCAAAAGAGGGCATTGGATCCCATCAAACTGGAATTTCAGAGAGTTGTTAGTCACCATGTGGATGCTGGTAACTGATCTTGGGTCCTTTGTAAGAGCAGCCAGTGCTCTTAACTGCCGAACCACCTCTCCAACCCGTATTTTTAGTTTTAAAGGCTGACTACTAGTCAGAGGTGGTAGCACATACCTTTAATCCCAGCACTTGGAAGGTGGAGGCCAGAGGATCAGGTATTTAAGGCAGTCCTTTGGTTGCATATTGAGTTCAAGAGTAGTCTAGGCTACATGAGACCATGTTTCAAAAATTCAAGAAACAAAATAAAACAGCTAACTATTTTTAATAAAAATTAAGAGTGTTTATATCCTTATAGTAAACTGTCAAAAACAGCAGCTTATTTATTAACTGACTACCCAGTGCTCTAAAATGATCTAGCCCCCAAATCTGTTTCTATTTTAAGGAACTCTAAAACAGAAAACAGAGATGATCAGGTTTCCTGTTGCTTCTCTGATTTTTAATTGTAGAAGCTTGCTCACCTGCTGTGAGAATTTGATTTATGCTCTTGCACATCTTTAAGTTAGCAGGGAAGGCATTTTATACTGTGAAGTCTTGTCTTTTTCTTTTTTTATTATTGTGTGTGTGTGT